GGAGACAAGCAGAGCCCCTAGCACAATGGCTATGTCTAGACTGGCATGATTTTCCGCAATGCTTTTAACGGAAAAAATTTTCCGTTGAAAGCATTTGCAGAAAAGAGCATCTAGATTGGCACGGACGCTTTTCTGCAAAAGCACTTTTTGCAGAAAAGCGTCGTGCCAATCTAGACGCGGTTTTGCGCAAGAAAGCCCCGATCGCCATTTTCGCCTTTGGGGCTTTTTTGCGCAAAAGTTTTTAGCTGTCTACACTGGCCCTCTTGCACAAAAACATTTCCAGAAAAGGGCTTTTGCCCGAACAGGAACGTCAAAGCATTTGCGCAAGAAGCACTGATTTCAGACAGTAGAACGTCAGTGCTTTTGTGCAAAATCAAGCGGCCAGTGTAGACAGCTGGCAAGTTTTTGCGCAAAAGCAGTTGCTTTTGTGGAAAAACTTGCCTGTCTAGACGCAGCCGATCAGTAAGGAAAAGATGAAGGTCCAACAGAACTAATGCAGAATTTGGATCCAAGCATCAGAACCCTTAATTGAGCATGGGTATGGGATTTAATGGAGGACACTAGATTTATTTATGGGTAAACTGATGGTTCAAGGGCATATAACAAAGTTGTTTTATTCAGGCTAGACAATAGGAACTAATTATTTCTGGCTATAGGTGGTGATTCTTCAAGAAGCTCATAATGCAATTAGGCAGCATCATATTTTGGATACCAACTGAGGGTTTATTACTAGAATTGGCATGATAATTACTGAGCTGTATATGTGCACATGTGGGTTCATTAACATCTGAAGTAGAGAGTTCCCATCAGTCAATGCTTCCCTGTTTTTTGATCTCAGAGTTCAGTGTGGTTTTTGCCTTAGAACGTCTGTTCTGCATTCTGTATACTAATGCAGATACCTTTCTTTCTCATCATTGATGCAAATGAGGCTATGGGAGTTTCCTTAATCCTGTCATCCTTGACTGGAGGGTTTGGGTGTGTATTTCTGTAGCCAGACAGACACATCAATCTTGCTTGCCCTCTGAGATGTCTGTATACAGGGCAGAGAAGGAACAATAAGGAAAATCAGCATAGCCATTAAGCTTTGATCTGCTTTGATGCGAGATCAGGATATGCGAGTTTTTCTCTGACTCTGAGTAACGATTAAGGCAATAAGCTGAGCTCGAGGCTGCAAGAAGTGCCCGGCTGGCACCCATGTTGATATAAGCACACACAGCTGTCCCTGGGAGAGGAATCCCCCACTGAGAAAAGAATGCCCAGTACTTCCAATTTAATCCTCTCAACTCTCTCTTACAAGTGTAAATTAAGTTCACAACTCCCTTGTAAGAACTGGTCTCACAAAAGGCAGACCAGCACTATTTGGCATCACAGATAAGAAAGAGAAATACGTGACCCAATGGGTATAAAGATGGGTACAGCAGCGCACTCACTTTTGAGTGTCAAACTACCCTCTACCTGCTGGTCGGGTTAGGT